TTATTTAGTAAAAGTAATCTGAGTATGAACAGGGATCGAGTTGCTTTATCGTCGGTCAAGCATCGTAATCCGAAATGGGAAGTTCATTTTGGGACGGAGGTAGTATCTTTTTATAATCACTTATCTTTTTTATCTTTATTTTTTTCTTTTCCTTTTGATGGTGATATCATGTATCGATTCATGTTAGCTGACTCCAATATCTTTTGGGATTAAGGCTTGAATATTGTTGTTGTATTAATTCAGGTAACCTTATAGGTAAAAATTGTCTACTAAGAGTCTAAATCATAAAAAAAGAGGCTAAATCATTTGTAACCTTTCTTCGTTAGACAATACTTATTTTAAATCAATCTAATGAAGGCCGACGGGCCTGTATGATAGCCCCCGACATCAAATAAAGATGTCGGAGGGATGAAGGCCGAGGTGCCGAGGGCTGTTGGTGAAATCACGCTAAGGCCAGAACTGCTGTGACGTAGACTCACGCTGAGGCCAAGGGCCGTTCTGGTGTTGAGGCCGAGGGCCGTTGTGATGTGGAATCACGCTGAAGCCGAGGGCCGTTGTTGATGCAGAATCACGTTGAGGTCGAGGGCCTTTGGTGATGTGAAATCACGCTAAGACCAAAATCACTATGATGTAGAGTCATGCTAAGGTCGAGGGTCGTTCTGATTTTTAGGCCGAGGGCCTTTGTGATGTGGAATCACGCTGAGGCTGAGGGCCGTTGTTGATGTAGAATCACGTTGAGGTCGAGGGCCTTTAGTGATGTGAAATCACGCTAAGGCCAAAACCGTTGTGACGTAGAGTCATGCAGAGGCCGAGGGCCGTTCTGATGTTGAGGCCGAGGGCCATTGATGATGTAGAATCAAATTGAGGCCGAGGGCCTTTCCTTGATAGTTCCGGGAGTCCTCCGGGTGTATGTTCCTTCTTTCAGGCTTCGACCGAGGGGGTTGATTCCCTGCTTCGGCTGAAAGAGGGTCCAAGTGATTCGTCCGGGGGTTCGTTTGTTAGTCCCCCGGCGCTGGGCCGTCCCTTGACTGTGCTAGGAGGTCGTATGTTAGTCCTCCTGATGTGTGTTTCTTCTTTCAGGCTTTGGCCGAGGGGGTTGCTTCCCCGCCTCGGCCAGAAGGGGTTCCAAGTGATTCGTCCGGGGGTTCGTCTGTTAGTCCCCCGGCGCTGAACCGTCCTTTGACCTTGGGGGGTCTCGTCGTCTATTTACGGCGCGGGCTAGGCTTGGTCAGTTTCCGACGACTGCCGTTTCACCCCCAAGTTTAGGGATTTTTGTCACCTCATCCATTCTTTCAGGCCTGTCGCCGTGCGTTGCGCGCCGGCGACGCGGTGAGCGTCCCGCTCCAAAAACGTGGGCCTTTTGCAGGCCCCTCGTCTTTAAACACTACAGCCATACCTGTGCATTTGGCCTCGAAGGGGCCGATAAGATGTCTGGGTTGTGTTGTAGTTTACTTAAATTCATAGAAATAAGCGAAATACAAGGGGTGATAACGGTTTTGTTAAAATACACGGCTCGAGGCCGAGGGCTCTAAGCCGAGGGGGTGATAATGTGCCTCGAGGTTGAGGGTCCAAGGCTGAGACCAACGCCGAAGGCGAGGAACATGATTAGCGGAGGTGGCGCTTCTTCGGATGGGGCTCCTCGAACTCCTCGCCGTCACTGAACCTCCCAATTTCCCGCTTCTTCGTTGCGGTGTTCCCTTCTTTTTTATCGGTGTTCTCCTCGACGTTTTTCATTGGGGCATTTTTGATGAATTGGTGGAGCTCACCCCGTTGAATTAAGAGTTCAATAGCCTTTTTTAACGAGACACAATCGTCTGTATTGTGGGAGGTGCATTTGTGGTAACGGCAATAAATGCTACCTTGGTGGATGGCGTAGATCTCCCTCGCCGACCGAGGGTCCTTGGGGAAAAGGTCATGCTCTTCCACATAGTTGAGGATAGTGCTCATCGGGTGCGTGAGGGGAGTCCTCGGCATGTCCAGCCGAAGGCGCCATCGGCGGTCGTTCCGGCCCTGCTGGGTGTGGCTTCCATGGTCCCGCCCCCCAGCCGAGGGCGCATTTAGGGCCAGCGTGTTGTTTGTCTTCTTCGAGGGCTGGCCTTCGTTCTTCTTGAAGGAGTGGAGGTCGTCGGCGTCGGCGTATAGGCTCCCCCGCTGGAGTGCTCAGAGGTATGATCTTGGGGGGTCGGTGATGAGGCTCCGTGCATAGGGGCTGCTGCGGAGAACCCCTTGGAAGAGGACGAGGAGGGTACACTCGTCGGCGCCCTCGATCTCGTCTGTCTCCTTCATCCACCGGTCAATGAAGGACCGAAGTGTTTCGTCAGGCTGTTGCTCGAAGGAGAGGAGATGGAAGAAGTGCTTTCTCGCGCGCTTCCTTCTAGCGAAATGGGTGAGGAAGTGTTGGGCAAGATCTTGCCAAGAGTAAATGTTGCCCTTGTGCAATCGGTTGAACCATTCGTATGCTGGTCCCTCCAAAGTGGAAAGGAACCAACGACATAAATATTCATCTGATACCCCCATCATCATGCTGTTTTGATACCTGCTGTAGTGCTCCTGGGGGTCAGTTTTTCCTTCATAGGGCTTGATGGGTTGCCCTCGGTACTTCTCTGGAATTTGGGCTGCCAATACCCTTGGGGTAAATGGCGTCCGAGTTCGGAGTTGGATGACGGGTTCCCCGGAGCCTTCGGAAAATTTCCTTTGCATCTCCTCCATCCTTGCTAGCATGGCGGTGTATTTGGGGTCCGCCTGTGAGGCGGAAGCTGTAGTGTGCGCCTGGCGGGCCTCCATTTCATCAAGGCGGCGCTGGAGGGCTTCAATCACTTCGTCTCTGGGATCCCTTGAGAGGGCCTCCGCCCCCTGCGAGCGTACCCGAGCGAAGTGCACCTGGTTGATTTGGTGTCTGGCGTCGTCGGCATGGAGTAGTCCCTTGCCTTTATCCTGTGGGAGACGTCTTTCGTCTTCCCTTGAAATGTATCCCCCGCTCTCTTGGGGTCTTTGGAACGCCGTTCCACCGAGGCGGTCTTGGACCCCTCGGCGGTCTTGCGCCCCTCCGAGCCGTTCGAGGGCGGAGGTCCTGGGCCTTTCCTTGTTTGCGCCACGACGGTCCCGAGATTGGACTTCCTGGGAGGCGGTGTCTTGAGCCATGACCCCTTCGTCATTCCCAACCCGAGGGGTAGGGTTCACGAAGGGGGGTGGACGCGGGAGAGGTATAACATTCTCCCCGACCTGTGGTTGAAGGGGCACCAGAGTGCCGAAGGCACCTGGATTTTGGGTGAGTGTTTGGATGAAGGCGGAGAATGCCGACTACACGTCGATAGTGAGGACCGGAGGGCTCACTTGGTTTTCGCTTTGGTCCTTCTTTTTGGCCTCGACGCCGAGGCGGGCATCGGGTGCATCCTGTTGGAGCTGAAGGCACAGGTCGACAGCCGTCTGTTCCAACCCAGCGAGGGTGCCGCCCTCGGGAGCCCTGTTAGAGGCTTCGGGGGCGTCGACGTCGCTGAGGGCCAGGTTCCTGTCCTCATGAGTCTTGGATTGGGAACGAGTTGCTCTCACCATTTTGATAGGTGTTTTGTGTTTTCCGAGGGGGAGAGTTTCTTACTTGATAGTTCGACTCTTAACGAGAGCACCAAATGATGGATAGTGTACCCAGGGGGTAGCTTATCCGAGGGGTTATTTCGGGGAATAACTAGAGAGAAGTCGGAGCAAATAAGTAAGAGAGAGATTGTATTCGAATATGTGAACTTGCTGTGGTTTACAATGGGGAAAGGGGCTGCTATTTATAGCAGCAATAAATGCGATGAGAGTACACGTGTCAACAATCTAACGGCCGAGGGGTCACCTCAATCGGGGTAGCACTGACACTCGCATGTGGCCGCATTAAATGGGGTAGTTGGATGTGATGTTTGTACTTGGTACGGTGATCCAGGCGCATGTGGAGAGGATATTCGGTCGAGGTGGATGCCTTCGGCTGAAGGGTGCTGGGCCGAAGGCTCTTCTAACCGGGGGCTCCATTATGTCGGGGGCTCCATTATGCCGAAGGTGAATACTCATGCTGAAGACCCCCCTGTGGCCGAAGGCTGTGTTTAGTCGAAGGCTCTGTAAACCGAAGGCTCCTGATTTCTGGCGTTTCCTCCCAGTAGCTTCGTATGCTCAAATGAAATTGTTCTGTGGGATTTGGAGCCCTCGGCCAAGGAGGCCGAAGGCACTTACATGTGTATTTGTGGGCTTCTTGATACTCGGGCCACTGTCTGGGCCTTGTGTGCTCATTGGGCTTGATGGACCTGAGCAGGAGAAGTAGGAGTCTGTGGGCCCCTTGGGCCAATGTTATACATTATCAACCAATGTTATAATCTGTTAAGACCAGAGGTCCCATCACAAAAGGTCAACCTAATAGGAAGAGTAGCTCATGTCTTAATATAGCACTTTGTTGATACAAACTTTTCTGGTGTGGAACTTTAACACCCCTCCTCACGATCAAACAATTCGTCTGGATCGTACTGTCATTCATTTTTTTCGTCGGTTCATCCCTTTCATTTTTAATAATCGTTTCATCATTTTTCATAGAGGCCCCACACCATAATTGATTTGGGTTGGATACCATGTTAAGAATCGGGGTTCATCCTAAAAGGTCAACCTAATAGGAGGAGTAGTTCATGTCTTAATATAGCACTTTGTTGATACAAACTTTTGTGGTGTGAGACTTTAACATAATCGACTAAATAAGTGACTTTCCGTTAGTTCTAATAACTCATAAATATGTCAGTGCACGCGCGCACACTCATATCGTAATTCGTAAAACTAATTAAAATTAAATCGTTTTATCTCGGTCAAGGCACGAGTAATGATACTAGTCGTATAATAAATAGAGCTGAAAAGGGTTATTTAAGTTTATATGTATATATTTTATAAACATTTTAAATATAAAATATTTCAAATACTTGGTATAAATTTCCTATAATTAAGTAGAGGCAAAATTGTTAGAATTGATAAGTGCTCCAACAAATCAACAATTAAGGAGAATGAGCGGTTAAATATATTAACACATGCAAGCTCAACAGGTTATTAGTGACACAGATGGATTATGATCAGTTCGTCATTTCTCAAAAGAACGGCAGCGTTTAGTGGATTGGTTATGGAAGCCCGGAACAACGTCTCGCCAGTCGCCACCACCGTCCCTGTTTCTTAGATTCTTCAGCCTTCTTCGGTCCCAAATCCTCCATCTTCCAGCCGAAAAAATGATGGGCCTTCTCAGAGTCTCTGTGAGATCAAGTCGTCCGATCCATTCTGTCTCTCGTGTATGATCTCTCGTTACTTTACTAATACAAAATCCTCTTTGTTTGCGTATATAGGCTTCGACTAGCCTTCTCTTCTGCTAGTATATGTTTTAAAACTATATATAAATCCTAATCCAAAACTCATCTGCCAATCTGGACTCTGAATTGCTGCGAAAATGTCTGACATCCCCTCTGAACTCCACCACAAAATACTCCTTCTATTGCCCGCCGATTCCCTTTTCCGCTTCAGAAGTGTTTGCAAGGAATGGCGCCGCCTCATTGATGATCCATCTTTCGTCAAAGCCCACATACAAAATCAAATCTCCTCAAGCACTCTTCTCATAAAAAAAGAAGGCTCTGGTTCACCTCCTCTTTATCTCATTAACTTTGACTCCCTAGAATTCACCCATGACTTGAACGATGACGGCCACATGATTGAAGCAATTCCCGTGAAACAATTGGTTCGTCTTGACGTGCCTCGCTTACAAAATCTTCCGGAGAACTGCTGCAATGGTTTGATTCTTCTTTCTAGTTTTGACCTTAACAAGAATTGGGCTGTTTGGAACCCATTAACCGGAGACTGCCATCAGTTGCCCCTGCCCGATTACCCTACCTATTGTTTTATGACTGCTGGTATAGGGTACGATCATGTTTCTGACGACTACAAAGTTGTTAGGTTAGAGACATATTCCCCCCGTCATGACGAATATGTTTGCAGAACTCTTCTTTACAGCTTAAAGTTGGGTTCGTGGAAGAGAATTGAGGATTGTCCTATTGATTTTCTGGGTATGGTTAAATATGTTAATGGGGTTTGTGTGAATGGGGAATTGCATTGGTGTGCCACTCTATCTTGTGTTGTCACTTTAGATCTTGTTACTGAAGAATACAGATTTACCCCTCTTCCTCCTGAACCCTTCCCTGAAGAGAGATTTGATCTGGATTTGGATGCTATTAGTGGGTCATTAATTTTGACTTGCAGTTACTTCACAGGCACCGGGTGTCACTTTGATGGATGGGTGTTGCAGGAATACGGAGTCGAAAGCCCTTGGAAAAAATTGTTCTCATTTCATCTTAACTGTTCCAAGCAACCCAGACTTGTGGCTTACATGAAGAACAAAAAGAAGGTCATTCTGCAGCGTGACGATGGTTTTTTTTGGGTTGATATTGAGAGCAATTCAGTGAAACAGGTAACAGTTGATGGACTCGTGGGCATTTCTTCTCAAGTTTTTCCTGGAAGCCTCTACCGCCTCGACGACCGTGGCAGTACCAGTAATTCCGTCTCAACTTCAACAGGTGTGAAGAGGAAGAGAAAACAGACCAAAAAGAGGACTATTACAAGGTCAAAACTATTACTCATTAGTCTTCGTTTTTATGATGGCTTTTGAAGTTGATAAACTTATGTTTTTGCTGGTTTTGTTTTATACCTACATGTTTCAATGATATGAAAAACATTAAATTGCACTATAGACTCATAATGTTATGCTGCTAACATAGAAATTTGAAACAATATACTATACTAATGTACTTTTCAATTTTCTGGCAATTATTGAGGAGAATCTTTGTTTAGTAATTAGCGATCTATTTGCTGAGGACAAGTTTTCATTTATTAAAATTGTGTTTGCTTGGACATGAAATTTATTCATTTCACATGACTTGGGAATTAGGTTCTTGGACCCTCTACACTCTGGTTGAACCAATCATCCCCTTAGGGCAGGTTTGATTTGATGATTATGGAGGGGACTAGGGGAGGATTTACGTTGACAATGCTAAATTATCTCTATTAGTACTACGTAGTTTTTAGTCTTCAAGTTCTTACCACTTTCTAAAATAAGAACAATCTGATGGAGAAATATGACCCTACCCTTCGGGGCCTCCGGCCTTCCCTCCCTCCAAAGTCCCCCACCAAACAAATACTTGTGATTGGTATGCATTTTCTTGGACTTGTGAAGACTGAAGAGTACTCGTCTGCTGGGACTTGGGAAGTTATGACTTATGGTTGACAGATAAAAAGTTAGTTTTACACTGATTAATCATTTTTTATTTGAGTTTAACTACTGTGAGTGCCATCCCCTTTCATCACAACATTTTTGTTTATTGGTGCATTGGATGTCAATATTTCATATTCAATCTGGTGGGTCTCAACATTGTACAATGTACATGGGACTTTCACCAATCATACACATGAAACAAATGATGTTCATATTTTCCTATGTGACTTTGAGAAGATGTTATTTCTGAATGGCAGGCTGAGGATCCATATAAGAAATGAAAGTTACCAGAGTCCAGAACCCAGAATCCTGTTATGATTCTTCACTCGGTTCGTATGAGGCTGATGAGTATTAAGTAGTCCTCCTACCATTTTGGTAGGAACCTATGTATGATGCAAACGAGTCTGCTTTGGTTAACTTTGAAAATTTTCAGCCTTAAAATGAATGTGTTTTTGGAATATTTTCTATTCATTGTTTATTGCTCTTTTAGTTTTAGTTCATGCATGCTGCAGCTTGCAATATCAATTACTCCCGTGTCATTTGGAAATCACAATTTATGAAGTGTTGTTTTTTAACGTCAACGGTCAAAGGAGCACATATATATCACCAGCCCTCTTGCTATATACTCCTCTGAACTCCCTCAGCTTCTTATACACAATTTGTCCGGTTCTTCCACCGCCTCCGGTAACAGTTGTTTTATATCACCAGCCCTCTTGCTATATGAACAGTTGTTTTACTCTGCCATGGCCGTTGCTAAAAACGTCACTAGCTGTATTGGTCGTGCTTCGTTGTCTCTTGTAATTAAATAAATAAATAGGATGGAGGAGAGTGGTTGATCTGATCATACTATTTCATTTAATGAAAACCCATTAATACTTGATCTGATCAAGTATTATTTCATTTAATGAAAACCCCATTAATGAAAATCCATCTGCCACCAATTCTCGTGACCACCGCCGATTCACCGGGCCACAATTTATGAAGTGTATAACAAACATACCTGTTTTGATTGACGAATTACGGCCATCCTTTTTATCACGAAGAGATTGATGACACAAAAAATGATTGAAACTTTTAATCACAAATTTTTTTTAGTACAAAAAGAATAATTTCGTAACACGCTACTTAGCTTTGAGAGAGATGGAAATTAAAATAGATGTCATTAGTCATGGTTTGTGATAAATAAAGGGGTTAGGTCATGAATATTACTCCGTACTAATTATTCGACCCATCATCCAGTTACAATTTTCCGACCCGTCATCCAGTTAAAGTTACCTGACCTATCCAGTTACAGTTATCTGACCCGTCCATTTACAGTTACCCGACCTGTCCAATTGTTGTTCAACCCGTCCGGTTACGGTTACCCAACTCGTCGAGTTACAGTTACCCGACCCATCATTTTACAGTTACCCACTCACCTGATCCATCTAGTTACAGTTACCCGACCTCGTCTAGTTACAATTACACGGTCCAATCAATTACAGTTACCTAACCCGATCAATTGTTTGATCGGACCTGTTATCCGACCAGTTACAATTACCTGTTTCGACTCGTTGCAATTACTCGATCCGACCAATTACATATATTTACATTAACTAGAACCACTGCGTTACCTTAACTCGATCGAATAGTGACGCACACGTGTGTGACACATTTTTACGCACACCTCTGTCGGACGCACGGACGCCACGCACGCGTGCATGGGTGCCGTGCATGCCTTCTGGAGTCTTAATTTCGCTCGAATTGCTCCGTTTTTCCTATTTAAATAGCATGTAAACCCCTGTTTTGCGGGGGAACTTAGAGAGATGGCCTAACACGAAATTTTGAGAGCTTCTCGGCCTTGTTCTTCAATTCTTTTGAGATTCTTTGTAAGTTCCTACTTTTTAATTAATGATAATTAATTCTATTCTTCCCAATTCTATTGATTCTTCAATTATGAATTGTGAGTAGTTTATTTAGGGATTTGGGGTTGATGAAGGGGTTAATCATGATGTATGGCTAGATTCTTGTTGGTTTAATTGCGTGAATGTCGTTTAATTTGTATATGAATAATTTAATTGATATCTCTTGTAACCTAGACTCTAGCTAAAATTACAATTGCATGTAGAATGAATTAAGAGAGATCTAATTTATTCTAGGACACATTCACACACTCTTAGTCGTTCGCTAAGAGATTAGTAGCGATTAAGGGGTCGTAAGCTCGCTCGTCTTGACAATAATTTAGGATCCCGTCGCATGAGAGATCAACCTGGTCCCCTAAATTATTGTACTCTATGCCACGAGAGCGGTAAGAACTTAGTATTGATCAGCTAGGCTGAATTAAATTAATTTCATGTAATTAAGCCTGATCTGCCAGAAATCTGATTACCCCGGAATCAATACATGCTCCCTTCGTCGTTAATTAAGAAGAACCTAATCAATTATTTTTATTCACTCATTCGCATTAATTTATTTTCCAAACCACCCAATCTCGCACAATTGCCTTTTATTTTATTTTATTTCTTTTTAATCGCTGAATTTTGGTTAATCTTTAATTCCCTTTTGTCCGTCCCCGTGGAGAGTGGAGACGATACTCGTACTTTCACCGCTATTCTACTAATAATTTAAGTGCGAGAAAACTCACATCAGTTTTTGGCGCCGTTGCAGGGACGATGTCGGTTTTAAGGGTTAATTAATTTTAGTGAGATTTTTTTTAGTTAGATTGGTTTAGTTTTCCATAGGATTTTTCTGTGCTATTCTTTCAGGAATTTTTCTAAGAGACATGTGATGAACCAATTCAGCTCAATTCCTGGAGGAACATCATTCCCTCAAACCTCCATGGAATATGCACAATATACGCACTACCCTCCTTACATTCCTCATCACTATTACACTTCTCATCAATATTACTCTCCAGCACCACAAAATATCCAACCTTCTTATCCGCACACTCTAACCACGCAACCCTTTCATTCTGATTCTTACTATCCTTCATCATAATATCCTTGGGTAAGCGCAAGACGGGGCTCCATTCTTGAATTTCTTCTTCAAACTAAAATGCCTGAGGAAATATCTGAATACTTTAAGGATAACATTTGTTCCTTATGTGGAGGAGGTCACCATTTATGTCTTTGCCCCATCAAACTTCTATATGACCATCCTTTCCGGGCAACTGCATACCCTTCTTCGTCCTCCCCACACTTTACAAACATAAATGTTTCAGCCACTCCTACATACTTGCCGAGTAATGAGCCTCATAATCAATTTAAGGAGAAAATTTCAGAGAGGCTGTCTAACTTGGAAGAGACACTCATGCAGCTCACAACCAAAATGCAGAATCTAATCAATGTGGTGGGTCAGTCGACAGAAGCCCAACATGAGGAGACCAATATGGATGATCATGGCATTGAATCAGACTGCGAAGGTGGGAGTGTGATGGATGATACACTTCCTAATGCATTTGAAGATGAAGAAGAAGATAATAATGTCAAGTTGTTTTTCGAAGAATACATGAAAAAGTTTGAAACGGTACAAGCTGTAACTAATGAAGTCACAGATCATTGTGATCTTCATACAAAAACTCCTGAGCCGTTTGATTTACCATTAGTCTCAACACCTGATGAGGACATGGAGCAGATCAATCATGATGACGGTGCTACTGAGGTAGGTTTGGGTATTGAAGATGGGTTGGGAAATGATGATCACACGTTCCAAGAGAGTGGGGGCGAGGTAGATGATGTTCATAATGAAGAAGTCCCACTCCACAAGCAAGATTACCCCTCTTGTACACATGCACTGATCCACTCTTATGTGGTAGATTTGGATTTCTTTGATTCACTCCTTGAAGATGATATTCATTTTTTGTGTGGAGAGTGACAACGTCATCCACATAGACATTCATGAGAACGGTGTTACCGAGAGTTGGGATGCTCACATGGGGAGTGATATAGAGTCCGGAGGAGAGGTTGTGAATGTTCATGATTTTTGTGAGGAAGAAAAAGACTTTTGTATGCTGCAGTACAAGTTTGATGTTGCTCCAGATCCTTGCTTTGAAAAATCTTTTGAGCTTCCACTGATGCCTGAAGTAATCAAAGTTTTGACTCATGTTTTATGTCCACTTAAGGAGGATATGAGGTTGATCCTTCAGTTCTGTGCTGATATGGTTTTTGAAGACCATGTGATTCCTACGTGGTTTCAAGAGTTTAAGAATCTGCGCCACTTAATGGCATTTGTTGAGGGAAAACTGGATAAATTGAAAATTAGTTCCCCACTACAGTCTGTGCTATTTGAGAGCTTACGAGGTATCGTTGGGAAAACGACGTTAAAAATAGCGCTTCTTGGGAGGCAATCAATCTTATTTCTGCACTTTTGTTTTAGCATGTTTTTTTGTTTGTTTTTGTGTTTTGCATTTGTTTGGAAGCTCAATTTTTAATTGGGATGATGTGCCGAGGATCACTTGACTCAGTTTAGTTCTGCACCGACCAACGCTTTAGGGAAGTTTCCGCGACTCTTATAATCGTCTATTTGTAATGTTGACTTGAGTTGAATTTGAGCACGCCTAACCTTTTCCTCTTTACTCCCTTGTGCATAGTGCATTTTTGGTCATCGAGGGCGATGCCAAAGTTTAAGTGTGGGGGAGTGAATTGGGCATTCAATTCGGGCAGTAGTTGTTACATGTGATTATTAGAGTTAGCATGCGTAGGTGTTAGTTGTATATTCATAGGAAATTCATGTCAAAATTTTTCTTTAAACCGTGTCTTTGTGAGCTGGCTAGAGTCTTGACTATGCTTTTAGAACATCTTTGAAGTGTGTTTAGGCTTAAATTCTTGCACTATAATCTAGTTGTTGAGAGGATGAAGGCACTAGTCACCCATTTAATTCATAACTTTTCATCCCACCTGCATAAGTCCTTTAGGAGAAGCTATTTTGAGCCTGACCATTTTGTTGTGTACCTGAGTAATTGAGCTCCATAGCCAAATGACTTGTGTTTCCTTACCCGTGAATATTTCTGACAAAGTCTTGGTGTTTAGGGAACTAGGGGATTAATTTGCTAAGTTTAGGGAATTTTTGTAGGAGCCATGTTTTTTGGGCACTGTTCCTATGCCCCAAATGAGGTAAGAGCAGTCATTTGTTAGGAATTTGATATTTTCGAGGATTGCATTGTAGACATGGATTCACTTTGATCAAATGAACTTTAATTGCTAATTTTCCTTGGTGAGACCGAGATTAGGTTGGGGTAATGTCTAGTGAAAATCTGAAAATTGAAAAAAATAATTAAATGAGCTAGACCTCTTACCTTGCGAAAAAGAGAATGGGAGACCCGGTCAAAAAGCGTAAGTGTTCTACACAATAAAATGAGACTTGGGGATCTTTCGAAAGAAATAGCGTTCTCGTGCCAACATGACAAAGAAAACTAAACTTAATTAATTGAACTGGGAGGCTATTGCAAAAATTAGCTTTAGTCCTTCGCGTACTTCAAGTATACGTCAAAGCACAAATGTGCCGTGGCGATTTAGCTTAGTTGTACACCTTGTCTACTCTTTGCATAGGTTTAGATGATAGTTC